GGTAGTATTACAGCAGTGTTATAGGAGAAAGTACCGGAGTATTTAAGGTAGTATTACAGCAGTGTTATAGGAGAAAGTACAGGAGTATTTAAGGTAGTATTACAGCAGTGTTATAGGAGAAAGTACAGGAGTATTTAAGGTAGTATTACAGCAGTGTTATAGGAGAAAGTACCGGAGTATTTAAGATAGTATTACAGTAGTGTTATATGAGAAAGTACAGGAGTATTTAAGAAAGTATTTAAAGTAGTATTACAGCAGTGTCATAGGAGAAAGTACAAGACTATTTAAATATTCCTGTACTTTCTCCTATAATACTACCTTAAATACTTCCCGAAATATTCTTGAAGTACTTGCTCTGACACCTCCACGGTTCCCTCTGGTGAGTGTTGAGGGTTTTAGTCCGGTCAAACGGGGCTATAATCCTTAAACTAACCCGGTTTCAGGTCGAGCTAACCGCACTGAGCCGTGCCGTGCTAACCGGTGTCTCTCCAGCAGTCAGCCCGGTTAGCCAACCCATGTTAGCTCATTAGCTCCGCAGCTAAGAGCGCAGCTGTTGCCCGGCTAACAGGCTCATCAAAGGCCGGTGTGTGTCGCTCCGTCGGCCCGGCACACAGCGGCTCTGTCCCCGGCACACAGCGGCTCTGTCCCCGGGCTCTCACCTGTGATATAGTCGAAAACCTCCGTGTCGATCTCAGGAAACTCGCTCTTCAGGATGTCCACGTACGTCGCCATGATACCCGGCCCTGGACCCTGCCGCGGCACGCATGCGTCAACATGCGACAGCGCCGTGAATTGTGGGCAATGAAGTTTAGTGGTGACGTCAGATGATAACAATCATATAACACTGACAACAGCCCAACATACAACAATTATAAATGCATAAAAGGCACCTCAGATTCCTGCACATAGAATAAAAGAATCACAGAATCATTTCAAATCAAACATCAGTACAATAACACAAGATACAGATCAGTCAAATGATAAAAAACAACAGCTGAGGTGAAAGCAATGTTCAAAGATTGATTAGTGAAATGTTCCAAAATATTCCAAACAATATGACATAACAGAGCAGCCCCCTGCTGTGTGTCAGGGTGCAGCCCAAAGCAGTCGTCCCTATAATCACATGGATCCACAACAACACAAAGACAAACTAACTACAATATATATCATATATACATATATATCTGCACCCTGTCAGGATCAAAGCTTGACTTGTAAACTTGTCAACTTTTTCTCCCAACATTCTTTCTATTATTATTCTGATTGTTTTGTATTCATTTGTCTTTTTTCCCATCTTCTATTTCACCTCTTGTACTTTTGACATTGTCACAGACAGACAGTGAGGAAATGAACATATGCATATTAACTGTGTGTCTGAGCTGAAAGCTGCTCTCCTCTCCTGCTCCTCTGATTCACAGCCACTACAACAACACAGAGCATCACCAGCAGACCACTGAGCACTGAGCATCTCACTGTGTAGAAGGTGGAGTGAATCCCAAAGGGATCTCTGTACATTAA